TGCGCCGCTGGCGCGCGGGCAGGAACAGCGCAGTCACCAGTGTGAGTCGAGCCACGCCCATACGCGCGCAGACATGCACGAGCTGGCTGCTGCTGCTGCGTGAGATCAAGTTCCTGGGTGATGAGACTTTCCGCGGGGTATACAACTTGCCCACAAAGGCTGGCGGCACCACAACCGCATAAATCTTGCTGGAGTTCAAGCACACGCATCGTCATATGCATTACCATCAGCAGCACAACACACAGACACATAATTGTGAGTACGTATTATACTCGTCACTGTTGACTGTGCGGCACACTCACGATTCGTCACTCAACAAAATAGCAAACCTGCACGCTCCACTTCTTCCAGATCCTCACGCGCTGGCAGTCTGCGCGATCACCCGCCGTGGCAAGATGTGAGCAGCAGCAGCCCAGCGCGTGCTGTCACGCCGCCATAGATGTATGACGCACCCAAGCTGCATGCATGCGCACGGATCAGTTCGAAGCTGCCGCTGCTGTCTTCGCGCCAGCATGCACTCGCGCGTGCGGAGGCGGCCCATTTGTCCTTTGCCGCGCGCTCTGCAGCCAAACTTTGTCACTTGAGAGCACCATCAGTCACGAGTCTGGTAGCAGTGGGGAAACGAGTAGGTACGGTGGATATATGTCAGCACCGTCACAATATGGCGCGGCCACATAGGGTGCGACACGCAATTGCCGAAGCAGCTCAAAAGAGGCTTAAACATGGCCATCAGAGGCGGAGTGAAGAAAGCAAAGCAAAGTCTAGAATCTTGACCAGAAACTTTGACCTTCCAGAGCAGGCAGGATGGATGGAGGATCTGCCTGCGGTCGGAAATTGCCCGCTCGGAAGAATTTCGGGCAAGCTCTGCTCATTGCAGCGTGGAGCTCCGCATTCTCCAACTGGTGGTGTCGGGCGTTCGACAGACTGCGCTTTCAGACAGAAGAACCAAGCCAACGCGGCGTACGTGCCCAATAGTCACTCTAGCCTCGGGACAGCGAATCAGCACCGTGCCGGTAACCGACAAGGAGGCGAATCATGCTTTTGCCCAGGCGGCTACCAACTCGGCTTTCCTTCAAAATTCGTGACATGTCTGCATTGCCTAGTGTAGGCTGGAAGTTCCAAATTCGCTGCGACCAGAACGTTTAGTGGTCAAGCTTCGCTGAGCATGTCGTGCTCGTCATCCGATCCTCGCGCGGGGAACATCCGCCTGCATTGAAGCTACTTCAGTCGATGATCAACGAGTCTGATGGGCCCTCGGGTGCTCTCACCTGTACTGTACAAGCAGCTGGCGGTCGCGATCGCAGGCAAGATCAGCGTTGACTTCTCTAGTCGGCAGCCAAAGATGAAGGTCAAGACGTCCTCACTTGCTCATGTAGACCAAGGTCATCGCTTCTTGCATCCAGTTGTCGCTTGAGACCATCAGCAAAATTGAGGGCAGCACTCAAAAATGGCTCCGCCAAGCTTCGCATATTGACGCTACGAAGCGACTTGCGTCAAGCTATCGTCGTGCTCAATGCCATACACCACGCGACTCACTGCCAAAGCGTCATCCCACAGTCCCACTGCAGGAGGATTTCCGAACGTGGCACGCGTCAGCAATTTGCATTCGATACTTCTAATGCCCTGATACTCACAGCTGTCGCTAGGAGCCAAAGGATCTCATCGCGGGGCGGTGTCTGACTATTTCGACGCTGCGCTTCGATCACGTAAGCCACAGCGCTCTGGAATGCTTCCAGTACCTCGACCTCTGGTGGTCCATTGCCCTCCAAATGTAGCGAGACTAGCGCTCGAATCCACCGGAGATACCTGGCCGGGTCGCTATCGTATAAAGGGCCAGACAGAGCATCATCAGGTGGGGTCGTAAGGGCGTCACCCATCGAACGAACACACCTCGTTTCTGCCATCAAGCCTATCACTTTGTTCACAGCACGCATTAGCATCTCCTTGGGAGTCTCCGGCGACCTCCAGAGCATCTCGGCAGCAGCCTCTGCCACGGGAATTTGGGTCATGGCCTGCACGAGGATTCTCAGCAAAGACCGAGCCCAATGAAAATTTTTGGGGCCCCTCACCTGCAAGCTACTTTGTACTCCAGAATAATTGTGAGTGCGGACGTGTGCTTCCCACATAGCCAGCTCAACCGTCAACTGCGGGGTGATTGTAGCGGCTCTGAGCGGCTCTATATGGGTCGCGGCGATACGGCTACGATCGATACCAGCGCATCTCACTTGCACTTGCTCAGCACGTTTATGGTCTTCCTTTGTAAGCTGTGCGCAGCTTTGTGCAACGTGCTGGAGCGTTGCCTTGACTGCTTCACAACGCGCGTGAACCTGCTCCCACTGCTGCGCGTGCGTGTTGAGCTTCGCAGACCTCATTGCAGAGTATTGACCGGCGTGACGGACTCACGAGATCACTCTCGCCGTCACGTCGTCGCGCTTGTACGCAATGACCCACGAGCGCTGTGACCTGCGCCATCAGCTTCATGCGGAATATTTCGGTCTCGCCGCTGCCCTTCATGAATAAGCGCCACATTTCAAAGGCCTGAAATACGAGCGGTCAGCGCGCTCGCATTACTTCCGGCCTATGGATACCTCCTTACCTCGCTGGCAATGTCAAACAATTGAGTGATCAATCCAGGGTCCACAGAATCTGCAAGCTGTATAGCGGTGTTGTACGCTGCGTGTGACAAGTGTCGGCAGAGGGCAAGAAACCAACGCGCAACCACGATAGCGCACCAGTCTTCGCCACCCATTCGCACTCTTCGGGTAGCTTCGAGTTGCTGTCTCGACCTTCCAGTCCTGCTTGAAAGATGGCAAGGCCTGGAAACCGAATACTAGTCAGCAGCGGAGCTGTCCATACCCTAGGGTGCGACTTACTGGACTTGAAGCTGAGAAGAAGCTGTTCTGCGTCGTGCAACCTGAGGCATTCAAAGGCGTGGATCAGCGGGGGTTCCAGTCCTACCTTTTTAAGAAGGGATTCACCCAAAATTCTGATCGGACGTTGGCAAGTGTGCTTTGATAATAGTACTGAATCGAGGAAAAATGTCAGGCGTCCAAATTGTGATGGTACACAACAGGCCTCTCCTTATCCTCTCACCGGCCCAGAAGTGTCAAGTCCAGACTGCGCGAAAATTCAGCGTCGTTTCTTGCTCGTATAGCCGTCTCCGACATGGCGCGTAACAAGATTCTGGTGAAGCCTGCTTGCTGCGCTTCTTGAATGACCTATGCACAGGGATCTCGGCGATGAATTGATGGCAGGACTATTGTCAGACCTTTTGATCTCTCACCATCGGCAGCATCTGATTGAGAAAGTTGGATGCGCAAACGAGAGCGTCGAAAGCTTGAAGGGCCATTTCCTTGGATCCCAGACGCATGGCACAGATAAAGGCGACAAAATGATTGGATGCATCGTTTGCCACCGAGGCAGGACAATTGGCGAGGATGTCCATCGCCGACTGGGGATTGTTGAGTTCGAGTTGGCACAGTGCAACTTTCCTGTCGCGATTACGAGAGCCCTTGCTCAGGCTGCATGAACGCATCGTGCTACGACGGCGAGACGAACCTGATGCTCTTCGCCACGGTTCCTGGTTCGTGGAAAAAGGCTCGATGTGTGCCCAGTCCGTAAGCTCGCGATGCTTCCTGAAGCTGAGGCTTTCTGCCCCTAGACAAGGTGTCCCCCCTTCTCCAAATCAATATCATCAAGGCCATCGTGTCAGCTTGATCCATCCTGATCTCGTCATCTGCTGCGACAACTAGCAGTATAGGCTCGGGATGCCAAATCAGTATCGATCTGGGCTTCAGGACCGCCTCACACAACACCGTCCGCACCGTTCAGCATATTCTCGAAGTAGTCCAAATCTGTCTCTTGCCGACAAGAGACCAGAAAGGTAAATAGGATGCGTCCGACAAATGATCCACGTTCAGAGGGCTTCGACGCAGCAGCGTTGATAAGTGTTGAGAAAACGTTCGAGTGTAATGCTCTGCTCATCGGCGCGTGAGCGTCAGAGGGATATCAGCAGGCCCAACATCATAGGTTGTTTGCTTGCGAACGAACCGAGCCTGATCCAAAGGTCTCAAGAGTATGAGCGTACTAGGCGAGTCTGTCTCAGCGGCCAGCGAGCTGCGCTTCCGAAACGGTGCCGGGTTCCGCTCACCGATTCACAGTCTCCTCAGTCCACTTCATGTGCTGGAAAAGCTTCTTGTATAGAGGTAGCAGCTCCAATTCTGAAGCACTGCGCAGCTGCAGGACTTCGACGTGGAGGAGAGCAAGGCGCTGAAGAGCTCTAGATTTTTAGTAAGATGGCAGCGCTGAAAGCAGGAGAGGAGGGCGCTCACAGTATCGAACTCGTGCGGTGCCTGCTCATTGTACATATCGGACACCTCCTTGAGAGCTGCTTCGGCTGCTCTGAAGTCCTTCGTATCGATGCGAGCGAAAGCGCAGTGAGCGCGAGCTGTTCAAAGCGGACCGATCTCAGTACGTTCACTAAGTAGAAATGAATCGTTCGATCTATGCGACCTCATCTGCAACAGCACCCACCCAGTTTACGCAAGCAGCGTATCAGCAGGGGTCGGGTGATATCCGACTCTTGACCTGCCTCTAGTATTCTCGTGGCTCGCTGCAGCCAGAATATTGCTCTTCGAGCCAGGTCAGCCTGCGGTGGGACGGGCTTGGACAGGAACGCTCGGAGATGACTCGTGCCACGACTTAGACAAGCTGTGGCCACTTGTCCCTGTCAAGCAAGTCGCTTTCAGCTGGGACGACTTTGCCACAGCCGCAGATTGTAACGTACTGAGAGTGCTCTGTCTGTACCGCAGTACTCTGGATGCGGGAGGGATGCCAGCCTCAGCAATCTCGTTGGATAGCGCACTGATTTACCACGCACCTTCAGCCCGATCGATGGCTGCAGTAGCGAGCTCGTCCGCATTGTCAACAAGTGCCTGTCGAGTGGTTCAGTACTAATCTGTCATAGGTGCAAATCGCCCAGACTGGGACCTACGATGTCGAACTGAGCCAATGAGTAGGAAACGCCCGCTTCACGATCGCTTTTGCTCAACGTCTCTCCCACGGCTCCCGGCGGCTCTTTGAGGCGTTTGGAAAGGGCATCGTCCAGCTGAGCAGCTCTACGGCTGAGCTCCTTGGCTTGATCCAACTCATCGACCTCTGTGCGAATATAGGTTGCATGTGAGGCGCGGCTTTTGTCCATTTGTCGTGGGCGCGCTCCTGCTCACTGCAAAGTGACGAAGCAGTCTTGCCGTAGCATCCCAGTAGTCGAGAGCGAGCTACGTGAAGCTCCAAGCGGATGAGCAGAAGGCAGGGAAGATATACCTGTGAGACCAAAGCGCGCCTCACTTTCCAATTCGTCAACATCTCTGAGACCTAGCTCCATGAGCAAGCAGGCTGAAGTCCGAGCTGCATTTCCACAAGCCAGGTCCGGTCGTGAATCACGTCAGCCTCGTGACTCATCAGTGAAGGCGCCGATTGAGAGACGTACTACTGGCTAAGAAAGAGACCAGACCTTTGTTGTCGCGACCTCTTTCTAAGAACTGGGACGTGACAGTCGCATTCCACAGCTCGCACCCTGAGACGCGTGGGAGTGACCTCCCCTTTGGGCATCAGATACCCGTGTGGCAGGACGGCCCAGGACTGACATACCTGTTACGTCTAGCTGACGGCACAGCTCCATCGGAAGCAATGGGCTTGGCTGTTCGGCTATAAAGCCTGCGAGGCGCTGCCGTAAAGATGAGAGCTGGGCCAACACTGCCTGATCATCAGCAGAGTCGGAAGCGATTCTTGGTAGGATGGCGTGAGCTGAGGCTATGGGAGGACACGAGGAATATGAGCAGGACAGGGGAGAGCCAGCGGGAGCAACACTTCCGGTCAGCATACACGCTTTTGATTGAGCAGTAGCTACCCATTTCAGCGCATACATAGGATGCCTTCAGCAATCGCAAGTCTGTTCGGTTGGCGCGTGGTCATCTTTGGACTCTCTCTCTGTGTGTGTGTGTCACGTAGCGAGGTGCGTTGCTCCACTTGGACGGCGAATAGGTCAGCCAAGACGCCTTGGAAAAGATGGCTGTCTAGTAAAGTTCTGGCATGAGGCTCGATCTACTAAAGGATTGACGACCACAAGCTCAAAGCGAGATCGACGATGAGGCCGGCAATGGAGATCGAACCGTAGCTGCTCTCTGATGCACGAGAGGATAGGCTGAATAGAACGCAGATCTAGGCGCACCGCTTCATTGAAGGTGTATCGGACAGTGAGCCTGAGTCTCCTTCTGAAAGTGAAGTTGGAGGGAACAAGTCGCGTTGTATCATTCAGGATTGCAAACCATCAGAACGTGTATCACGAAACTCAGCTAGAGCTACAGTTACCGGCAGTCACGAGTTTTGAGTTGTGAGGAAGCCTTCGCTCCGAGGGATCTGACGGAGATGCTCGACCGAATGTGGCCGGCATCGCGGTGCGTCCGCTTGCTCGCGACTCCACACGCGCGCGCGCGCGCGCAAGTCGCTCTCAGTCTGCGCCGTGCGCGGCGCTATCGGCGTCGCTGCATGCTGAACGCGGGCAGCAGCAGAGAGCGAGCCGGGGCTGCTGCAGCAAAGGGACCTGACTGCATCACGACGGCTTGCGCGTGGCCTGCCCTATAGCTGAAGCCTGTATCCGCGGCGCAGCTGGGCTGCTTGCTGATTGATCTTCGCTTGTCGTGCTACGAGGGTGCGCGATGCTCGCAGCATGATGAGCGGAAGCCACACGCGCTGGTGCAGCAGCAGGCAGGCATACCGTAGCACGGCCTCCAACGAGGGCACGCACATTTTGCAAGGCTCTCTCTCTTCTTGCTTCGCTCGGACAGTCACAGTCAGAACGGTCAGAGCTAGTGAAGAATGCAAGATTGGCAGTTGGCTGGCCCGAACCTTCTCCATCTCTTTCCTTCTTCACCGCACACATCTCACGGTAATAGCAGCGTCGCTTTACTAGCTCGAGCGCTTACCATCTGCCACGAACAAGCCCCGCTGGTGTTCGACTTGTCTGGCATTGCGTTTGGTCGAGCCACACCACTTTCATCATCATGATCGCAGCAAGGCGTGCTGCTGGCCAGTCACCGCTCACTCGAGCGGCGGCTAGCATCGCTGGGTCCAGTCCGGCATCAACCCAGCTGTCTGCTCTGCGGTTCAAAGCACCATCCACCAGCGCCACTCTTCATTTGAGCCGTGCCTGCGCTCAAACCATCCCTAGATTGCCACACAATGCCGGTCTCAGATCCATCGCTCTTTTCCATTCTTCCGCTGCCAGGCTCGAAGAGACGGTACCTGTGCCGCAGATGGCAGAGTCGATCACGGAAGGTACGCTCAAGCAGTGGACAAAGAAGAAGGGCGACTTTGTCAGTCAGGATGAAGAAGTGGCCGTCATCGAGACTGACAAGGTGAGTCACCTTGCAACAGCTGAGCATGCACGAGGTTGGCTTTTCATCCTTGCCTGCCGTTAAATCATTTGAAGCGTGCTGATATTCTGACTCCATCCCGAACACCCGTTCAGATCGATGTCACTGTGAATGCGCCGCAATCTGGTACCATCACCGAGACGCTGGCCAATGAGGAAGACACTGTGACAGTTGGACAGGACCTGTTCAAGCTCGAACCTGGAGATGCTCCCGCCAAAGGCTCCAGCGGAGGCAAAGAGGAGTCCAAGGACGAGGGTAAGGACGAAGGCAAGGAAAGGGAAGAAGCTGACCAGAAGAAGCAGAAGCAGGAGCAGGAGCAGCAACAGAAAGAGCAGCAGCAGCAAAAAGAGCAACAAGAGTCTGATAAGAAGAGCAAGGAGGAGCAAGGTTCCAAGAAGAAGGACCAAGAGCAGGCAAAGAAGAAGGACGAGGGCAAGAAACCATCGGGAGGTGATGGTGTCAAGTCCACCTCTGGTCCCTCCGCACCTGTCGACCCTGCTCCGGCTACGCGCGGAAGTCGAGATGAGAGGAGGGTCAAGATGAACAGGATGAGAATGAGAATCGCAGAGAGGCTGAAGCAGTCTCAGAATACCGCTGCCAGCTTGACCACCTTCAACGAGATCGACATGTCCGCCATCATGGCTTTCAGGTCCAAGCACAAGGATAGAATCCTGAAGGAGCAAGGCGTCAAGCTGGGCTTCATGGGTGCTTTCGCCAGAGCTAGCGCCTTGGCACTCAAGGAGATTCCTGCTGCCAATGCGAGCATCGAAGGAGAGGGACTGGGAGACACGATCGTCTACAGAGATTACGTCGACTTGAGCGTCGCCGTCTCGACCGAAAAGGGTCTCGTCACTCCCGTCGTGCGCAGCGTGGAGGAGATGGGAATCCTTGACATTGAGCGTGAGATTGCGGCACTGGGCAAAAAGGTGAGTCTGTATTACCCTGCAAATTGTGCGGCGAGCTCATGTGCTGATTCTGGTCTTTCCTTCAACAGGCACGCGACAACAAGTTGACTTTGGAAGACATGGCCGGCGGAACATTCACCATTTCCAACGGAGGCGTCTTTGGTAGTCTCTTCGGCACTCCCATCTTGAACCTGCCAGGCTCTGCCATCTTGGGCATGCACGCCATCAACGAGAAGCCATGGGTTGTTGACGGGCAAGTCGTCATTCGTCCCATCATGGTCGTCGCCTTGACTTAGTGAGTGGTCGTCTCTTTCGCTGTTCGCCCCTCCTCCCTTCGTGTCGAGTTGTCATGCGCTGACGCCATTCCACTCCCGTGTACGCCTCCACAGCGACCATCGACTTTTGGATGGTCGCGAAGCTGTTACTTTCCTTGTTCGCTTGAAACAATACCTCGAAGACCCTGCGCTCATGGCTTTGTAGCTTCATCTGCACTTACGCCCTCTCTCTCTCCCTCTCTCTTTGTCGGGAGCGTCTTTAGATATGAGCAAAGAATCCAATATTGATACAACGCCTCGGACGTTGTTGGGCCTGGCGTGCTTTCCCTGAGAACGGCGGCACCTTGCTCTAAAGCTCCGAGCTCGCTTCGCGATTGTCGAGTAAGCTGCTTAACGCTACCAACGTGTGTGGCGTGCAAGGCGTTTGCATGAAGGATGAACGACGCTGAGCGATAAACTGTTGCGATTCTTCTATACGGTAATGTTGCTCGGTGCAAACATGGCGGCCTGATCATTCGGCGTGCACAATGCTACACCTCGAGAAATGATTGGTCATTCACTGGATAAAGACTGCGTTGGCGATCTGATTACAGCTCATTGCAAATATGTGGTGGTACACAAGTTGAAGTAGAGCCGGATCTGATCGTGTCCAGAACAACAACGGCGCAGAGTTGAGGCAGCACAAGGAGGGTATGGAAGTTCGGATTCGCTGGGCTGGCACAGCGAGCATCAACGCGCAAGAGGCAGCGAGACATGTCGATCATTTTGTCAGAATACCGCCGGTGTGCGGTGAAGATCATGTATCGCGACAAGCCTGCTCGCTCAAGCTTGCATGATCTCTCCTGTAGGCGGCAGAGTAGGACGAGCGCTACCAAGAGGGCTCGCTGCTGTCGTAGGAGCGGTGCCGACGCTCGAAGGAGCTCTAGGCGGGTCAGTGGAGTCTCCATGCTCCGAAGAGTCAGCGGCTGTGATCTCGCTTCTAGGCGGGGCCCTCAAAGATGGCGAGCCTGGCGACCCCGCGTGACCAGTGGGTTGAGGTAGGGGAAAGGAAGGAGGAGCGCTAGGATAGTCGTCTGCCCTCGTCACTTCGGACTGGAGACCTGTCACACTGCTTGGTGCTGTCGGATAGCTACTGTAGTTCTCTCGGCCTGCGGTAGGCGCTGGTGGATACGTGTTTGCTGCCGACTCTTGATCCTTTGGCTCAGACGCATATGCTCCTGCGCCAGCGGCGCTATCGGATGCCAGACCTCCGTGCGAGCGAGGGACCTTAAGCGCAAGCAAGATGGCAGCAGCGAGCAAGACGAATGAGAAGACCCCTGCGAGAGCCGCAAGACAAGATCGTGAGTCATCTGATGAGACATCCGCCAAACCGGCCTTGAATCACATGTACCCCTCACTCACAAGAGATCCACGCAAATGCTACCGTGGCCTTGATTGTGCCGCTGTGGTCGATGGAAAGCAAGCCAACGGCGGTCAGCACTGAGCTGCGATCGCATTGGATCCAGAGTCTTGGACTCACCAAAAATGCGAGTCTCCAATGAGCCGATTGGCGATAACATTAGCGAGGCTAGAGCATGTGCCTCCGCTGGATGAGTAAGCGGCCCCAATCAAGAAGAGCAACCAGACAAAGGCCAAGATGCCTGCCACGCCCAGCGGTCCGACGACCCATCGTACAGCACTGGAAGGTGTAGCTCCCTTTGCGCCGCCGACGGGCAACAACGATAGCACTGTCACCGCCGAACCCCACAGGAAGGTGAACAGGCCAATAAACGCAATCTGAGAGGTGACGAAAGTCCGATCAGCGTCACGCCAGAGTCATTCCCCAATTCTACTTTGATCGCACTCACCAGTCCCCAGCCACCATCTCTGAACCCGCTGTATCGAACGCCGAGGCCGTCCACTGCATCTTCCAGCTTGCCGATCTGCCCCGCCGAGTAGGCCTGCAGTTTGGAACGCAGCACAAAGTTCATAGATGCGGTGAGAAAACTAAAACACCACCTGGGCATGCATACGCATCCTCGCCGATCATCATGGGTCGTCACTTACACCCAGCACACCTGCAATGAAGGCAAAGAGGGCAAGAACAGGAATGCCCAGCACTGCATGTAGGAGGGGTGAGGATCAAATGTGCTCAGTCAGCATGATGGAAAGACTTTGTCCATGCGGAATTGTTGGCATCCCTTCGTGTCCAAGAAGAGTTGGCGCCATGCTGTTTCTGCATGCGTCGTCCGCCATGCTGTTTCTGCATGCGTCGTCCACCGCGCAGAGAGGCTCTTCTAAACGAGGCTTTAGAAGCTTTCTGCGCTCCACTCACACACGAGCCTGTATGTCCCGTGTGGGTCGCTCGAGCCGATTGGTGCCTTGTGAGCAAATCCCGCCATCATGAATAATGTCCACTTAGCAACAAGTTCGACGGCTATTTGAGCGCTGTTGGAGCGACAGAGAGGTGGAGCGAGGTGATACGAGCGGCGGAAAAGGCAGTGTACCTCGGCACAGCAACGGATCGATTTGCCGCGTCGCAGTGAGTGATTCGAGAGACGCAGCTGTGGGGAAGGGAGAAGGGATAAGGGGCGTGTATTGATGGTGACTACACTGTGAATGGAGTGCAGACGACGGGTGAACGGGTGATGATGACCGTCTTGATGAAGACGCAGGAGCCGTTCAGGCATTCATCAAGCAGAGCGGAGAGCGTGATTCATCCATCCATCACATCCCTGCTCCAGCTGAACCGCCTCGGGAGGAGCAGCCGTGGTGAGTCACGCACTTGCGCAGCCGAAGCAAAAGTCAGCAGAAGAGTTTGAGTGTCTCACACACGCGGCAGCTCTGGAGCAATTGATTGAAGCCGTGATAGTCACAGCGAAAGAATGCGTAGACAGCTCCTGTGGCTCGATCGCTGAAGTTGCTGTAGCTGCGAAGTGGCTGCATGATGGCTGTGCATTTTGATTCTCTTGACGTTTGTGTAGCGCCGTTCGCATGCAGATTGAGCAGCATGCAGCTGCTGCATGCGAGTCGCAAGTCGCAGACTTTCCTCGAAGGGGCGGGGTTTCGCGTGCTTGCGGGCGCGCGCGCGCCGCGGGCGATGAAATCAAGAATCTTATAGCGGGCTTGCAATCATAGCCACATTCGTATTTATTATATACCGGTGCCGAGTGCATTCTTGATTCATACACCTTATACGATTTGGCGTCCTCTTTGGCGCTTGTATCGATTCGTGATTGATCTCCTCTTTGTCATCGCTTGAGGTGTGTAAAGGGAAATTCAACGCTCGAAAATACACGACGATGGATAAATCTGGACTCCAAGAGGCGAGTGAGCACAAGCGCGCGTGTCTGCTGCTAATCGGAGTCGCGTTCAAAAATCGAATCGTGGGTTAGCTTGATAAGCAATATATGCACGCATTTTGATGCTCATTTTAGTCATTAATGAATGCCGGCGTTCATTAATTCAGCGTTAAAGCAACTTGATTGAACATAGCTGTGCTGTAAATGCGATCACGTGAGCCGCGGCGATCTTCTGAATTTGACTGATGAACTCTAAAGTCAATCACGACTCAGCATCGATCAAGCGCTCATCTTGCTTGATCAATCAGACGGTCATCGCGATCATTGCGCTCATTCTGCTGCTTCTCTTTAACTACCACCATCTCTGCCCGTTCGACTCGCTCCTCTCTCTTCTTTTGCTCCTCACTGTCACCGTTGATCCGTATCCGTCACCGTTCATCCTGTAACACCACGCTCTATCATCTGTTCAACGTCAAGCACTCCCTTGTGTGCCCCCGGGCCTTCTCCCAATGCCTCGTTCAAGCAGAGCTGACAGCGGCGGGTTATTGTCTCCTGCTCACTTGCGCAGTAAGCGCTCTCGCACCCACGGCTGTGACGACGATTCTTCAGACTCCCTGGGAAGCGACGACTCCTTCTCAGACAGCGAGTACAGTGACAGCGACGACGATTCCAGCAGTGATGATGATTCATTAGATTTGGTATCTGATCACAGTGCTCTTTCCAATGCTCGCCGAAAGGCCGCTAAGCAACGCAAATCAACGCCAAACACCTCGCCCCAACAGGGAAAAGGCAAAGAACGCGCAGTAGAGCGAGACACTAGGGACAGGGACCGCAGGCGCGAGCGCCGGCGCAAGAAGAAGGAAGAACAT